TGGGTCTTGGAGGTACTGTTTTGCAGTGGCTCCGGTCATTCCTGGAGGGTCGATCTCAGAAGGTGTTGTTGCGGGACACCTGTTCAACCCCACAACCATTGTCTTGTGGGGTTCCTCAGGGCTCAATATTGTCTCCCATGTTGTTTAACATCTACATGAAGCCGCTGGGGGAGATCATCCGGAGTTTCGGGGTACGGTGTCATCTGTACGCGGATGATGTCCAACTCTGTCACTCCTTTCCACCTGCTACTAAGGAGGCTGTCGAGGTCCTGAACCGGTGCTTGGCCACTGTGACGGTCTGGATGAGGGCGAACAAATTGAAATTGAATCCAGACAAGACAGAGGTACTCCTGGTCAGTCACAAGGCCGAACAGGGCATAGGGTTACAGCCTGTGTTGGATGTGGCCGCACTCCCCCTGAAGACGCAGGTTCGCAGCTTGTGACCCTGGGCTCATCGCTGAGCCTGGAACCCCAGGTTTCGGCGGTGACCAGGGGAGCATTTGCACAGCTAAAGCTTGTGCGCCAGCTGCGCCCGTACCTTGGGAAGTCTGACTTGGCCACGGTAGTCCACGCTCTGGTTACATCCCGTTTAGACTACTGCAACGCTCTCTACGTGGGGTTGCCTTTGAAGACAGCTCGGAAGCTCCAACTAGTCCAACGCTCGGCAGCCATGATTTTAACAGGAGCGGAGCGCAGGGAGCATACAACCCCCCTGTTGCGCCAACTCCACTGGCTACCGCTCTGCTACCGGGCTGAATTCAAAGTGCTGGCGTTGGCCTTTAAAGCCCTAAACGGTTCCGGCCCAAGCTACCTATCTGACCGCATCTCTGCCTATGAACCCACCAGGACTTTGAGATCTTCCGGGAGACCCTGCTCTCGATCCCGCCTGCTTCTCAAGCTCGGCTGGCGGGGACGAGAGATAGGGCCTTCTCGGTGGTGGCTCCTCGGCTGTGGAACGCCCTTCCTACGGACATTAGACTAGCACCATCTCTAATGGTATTCCGCAAAAAGGTGAAGACCTGGATGTTTGTGCAGGCGTTTGAGTAATTTAGTGCAATCTGGTAATGGAACATAGGAATGGAACAATGGACGACGAACCTGGACTACGCTTGGATGAGAAGATTGGGTACGGTTGTTTTTTGTAATAATTGTGCATTGTAATTGCTTATTGGTAATTTATGGATAATGTGTTAAGTCAATTGTTATATGTTGTATGGAACCACTGCTGTTTCTACTGTTTTTACTGTTTGTGAACCGCTGTGAGTCGCCTTCGGGCTTGAGATACAGCGGTATATAAGCAAAGTAAATAAATAAATAAATAAATAAATAATAATATAAATCCCACTTGCCTCGTTTCCAACAGATCTCACAACCTTATAGATGTGAGCGAAACATCAGGAGAGAATGCTTCTGGAACATCGCCAGACAGCTTGGAAAACTCACAGCAATCCAGCGATTCCGGCCATAAAAGCCTTCGACAACACAGATTCGATGGCTAATACTGAGCCCTGCTGGCTCGTTGGCACACTGCACATGCACAGGAGCACTCTGGTCTTCTGGAACATGGCCAGACAACTCGGAAAAATCACAGCAACCCAGTTATTCCAGCTATGAAAGCCTCTGAAAACACTAATACGCTCTGGTTACATCCCGAATAGATTACTGCAACACGCTCTGCATGGGGTTGCCTTTGAAGACTGTTCGGAAACTTCAATTGGTCCAAAGGGCAGCAGCCAGGTTACTAACAGGAGTTGCGTTCAGGAAACACACTACTCCTGCATGACCACATTTCTGTGTACGAACCCACACGAACTCTCCGTTCATCAGGAGAGGCCCTATTCTTGCTCCCATCTCCCTCGCAGGCGCAATTGGTGGGGATGAGGGAGAGGGCCTTCTCCATGGTTGCCCCTCGACTCTGGAACTCACTTCCCAAGGATATCAGACAAGCCTCCACATTGGCAGTCTTCAGGAGGAGCCTGAAAACGTGGCTGTTCCAGTGTGTCTTTCCTGAATAAAGGAAACAATCCCCAGGAAATACTCTAAGAAGCACTTTAATGACCCATTGGGTTGCTCTTTAAAACCCTCCAAATAAATACATCCTCTGTTCATGTCCAGCATTTATTTTTAACGTTTTAACTATTACATTTGGCCCAGCCATAGGTTTTTAAATTCTTGTGTGTTATTGTCTACTTGTGAGTTATATTAATTATATTGTTTAGTTTATTGCTTGTTATTTTATTATTGCTTGTTGTTTTTGATATGTTGTTGGGCTTGGCGTCATGTAAGCCGCTCCGAGTCCCTTGGGGAGATGGTGGTGGGGTATAAAATAAAGTTATTATTATTATTATTATTATTATTATTATTATTATTATTTTACCTCTGTTGCGTCAGCTCCACTGGCTGCCAGTTTGCTACCAGGCACAATTCAAAGTGCTGGCTTTAGCCTATAAAGCCCTAAATGGTTCCGGCTCAGTTTACCTGTCCGAACGTCTCTCCTTCCATAAACCATCTAGGACAGTGGTTCTCAACCTTCCTAATACCGTGACCCCTTAATGCAGTTCCTCATGTTGTGGTGACCCCCAAACCAAATTTGGCACAATTACCCAATACACCCAAATTTGCATACTGGTGGGGTTGGGGGGGGGAGTTGGTTTTGTCATTTGGGAGTTGTAGGTAAAAGTTTTCCCCTGACATTAAGTCCAGTCATGTCTGACTCTGGGGTGTGGTGCTCATATCCATTTCTAAGCCGAAGAGCCAGCGTTGTCCGTAGACACCTCCAAGGTCATGTGGCCAGCATGACTGCATGGAGCGCCGTTACCTTCCCGAGCAGTACCTATTGATCTACTCACATTTGCATGTTTTTGAACTGCTAAGTTGGCAGAAGCTGGGGCTGACAGCGGAAGCTCATGCTGCTTCCTGGATTAGAACCTGTGCCCTTTGGGTCAACAAGCTCAGCAACTCAGCGGTATCGTTGTTGGGATTTATTGTTAACCTACAATCAAAGAGCATTCTGAACTTCACCAACAATGTAATTGAAACAAACTTGGCACACAGATATCCCTTGACCAACAGAAAATACTGGAAGGGTTTGGTGACCACTGACCTTGAGTTTTGGAGCTGTAACTCACATCAGGCGAGCACTGTGGACTCAAACAATGATGGATCTGGACCAAACCTGGCAAGAATACTCAATCTGCCCAAATGTGAACACTGGTAGAGTTTGGGGAAATTAGACTTGACACTTGGGAGTTGTAGTTGCTAGGATTTATAGTTCACCTACAATCAAAGAGCATTTGAACTCCACCAACGATGGAATTGAGCCAAACTTGGCACACAGAACTCCTATGACCAACAGAAATACTAGAAGGGTTTGGTGGGCATTGACCTTGAGTTTGGGAGTTGTAGTTCACCTACCTCCAAAAGCACTGTGGACTCAAACAATGATGGATCCGGACCAAACTTGACACGAATACTCAATACGCCCAAATGTGAACACCGGAGGAGTTTGGGGAGGGGTTTGACTTGACATTTGGGAGTTGCAGCGGAGGCAGCCTTCACACGAGCCCCTCCTGGGCTCCCCCGCAGGCTCGCCAAATGGCGAGGCCGCGAAGGAGCCCAGGGAGGACTCGCGCAAAGGAGCCCCCGGCTGCCTTGCGGCCTCGCCATTTGGCGAAGCCATGAGGGAGCCTTCGCGCGAGCCCCTCCTGGGCTCCCCCGCGCGCTCGCCAAATGGCGAGGCCACGAAGGAGCCCAGGGAGGACTCGCGCAAAGGAGCCCCCGGCTGCCTTGCGGCCTCGCCATTTGGCGAAGCCATGAGGGAGCCTTCGCGCGAGCCCCTCCTGGGCTCCCCCGCGCGCTCGCCAAATGGCGAGGCCGCGAAGGAGCCCAGGGAGGACTCGTGCAAAGGAGCCCCCGGCTGCCTTGCGGCCTCGCCATTTGGCGAAGCCATGAGGGAGCCTTCGCGCGAGCCCCTCCTGGGCTCCCCCGCGCGCTCGCCAAATGGCGAGGCCGCGAAGGAGCCCAGGGAGGACTCGCGCAAAGGAGCCCCCGGCTGCCTTGCGGCCTCGCCATTTGGCGAAGCGGTGAGGGAGCTGAGGCAGCCTTCGCGCGAGCCCCTCCTGGGCTCCCCCGCGGGCTGCGAAGGCGCCCAGGGAGGGCTCGCAGCCTTGTGGGCGGGGCCTAAGGAGGCGGCCTCGCGACCCCTCCGAAATGGCCAAACGACCCCCTGGGGGGTCGCGACCCCCAGGTTGAGAACCGCTGATCTAGGAACTTAAGATTGTCTGGGGAGGCCCTGCTCTCGATCCCACCCACATCCAAGCGTGATTGGCAGGGACGAGGGACAGGGCCTTCTTAGTGGTGGCCCCCCCGGCTATGGAACTCCCTCCCCAGTGATATTAGATCACTGGGGACCCTCTCCTTCTTGACTTTCTGAGAAAAAGTAAAGCTCTGGCTCTTTGAGCAAGCTTTTGAAAATGTAGCGGAATAGATGCGGAATAGATAACAAGGAACTATGAATGATGAACATGGAATGGCCAGATGATGTGACTGGATAACGTTTTTAACAGGATGACACCGATGATTATATGCTTTAACGGTTTTTATATGTTTTATATTGTCATGTTGATTGTTTTTAATGGCACTTTTATGAATGTATGGCATCGAATTTGTGTCAATCTGTAACCCATATGGCTGAGAAAGGCAGGCTATAAATATCGTAAATAAATAATAAATAAATAATACTGAGCCCTACTGGCTTGTTGGCACTCTGCACATGCACAGGAGCACACTGGGAATGTGTATATATATATATATATATATTTAGAGGGAGAGAGTCCCAAGACGGAGCAGATGGGGGAAAGGTGGGCTGACATCCTCTGCCGCCCCGTCTATCAGAAAGAGGAGCGGAGGGGGGAGAGGGAAGCACCGGCACAGCCCCCAAGGCTCAGACCGCCCAACCCCTCCCGCCCGCGGGTGTGTGTGTGTGTGTGCGCGCGCACAAAGTGTGTACCTCTGGCTCGAGGGGGCGCGCGCGCCAGCAGCCGTAGGGTTAACCGCGGACGGCGGGCGCGAGAGAGACAGAGCGAGAGTGAGAGAGGCGGGCAAGGAAGGCAGTTGCCGCGGCGAGGAAAGGAGACGAGAGGAGAGGAGAGGAGAAGAGGAGGAGGAGAAGAAGAAGCAGACCCGACCTCCTCCCTCCCTCTTATCCTGCTTGACCATGGAAAGCGAGGGCAGTCCCAGGAACAGCCTTGGCAGCCGGACTCTTCGCCAGGAAGGTGAGTTTGCCCCTCATTGGTGGCGTCTTTGCATCTTCTGCTGTTTCTCTATGTCCCCTATTGGGACGCATTGACTTCTGAGGGAGGCAAAGGAGAAGGAAGGGGGGGGGGGGGCTCTTCTGCACCGCTGGGTGGCTCTTCCAGGCAATGGACCCCCCCCCCCTTCCCTCCGGCCCGGAGGTGCCTGACTGTCCTCTGCTCTCCTTCTGGCTCCCTCCGGGTGTCTGAATGCAAGCATCCCTTGGGCTTCGATATATCAAAGGCATTGCTAGGCTGGTGGCTTTGGCTCGTGGGAAGAAGAGAGGAAGGAATCAGAGGAAGGGTCAGTGTGGATGAGACAGAGGGGAGAAAAGAGAGGGAGCCAGGAATCAAGGTGGAAAAGGTGGAAAGGGAGCCCATATCCCCCTACCCACGTCCCTTGCAGGCAGATATGGACTCCCTTTCCCCCTTCCCAGCCCTATTACTTCTTACTGCCTCTCTCTTGGAGGAATGGCCAAGACCTGTTGTTGCGCCCAAGAGCAAGAAGCAAGAAGGCAGGCACAAGAAGAGGTCCTTGCCCTCCGCCTCTCTGGCTCAGGGAGAGAGGCTCTTAGGAAGGGTTGAACCAGATCCCCATCATTTGGATAGAGCAACACATAGGGGGCAATGTCTTGTCAGGGATGCAATCATAATCATAACAGACCTCTGAGGATGGCTGTCATAAATGTGGGCAAAACGTCAGGAGAGCATGCTTCTGGAACATAGCCATGCAACCCAGAAAACTCACAGCAACCCAGTCATTCCAGCCACAAAAGCCTTCAACAATACAATAATAACTTTACTTATAACCCGCCCTATCTCCCCAAGGGGACTGGGATGGGGAAAATCAGGCACCCATCATCATATAATCATCATAACAGACCTCACATCCTCTGAGGATGCCTGCCATAGATGTGGGTGAAATGTCAGGAGAGAATGCTTCTGGAACATGGCCATACAGCCCGGAAAACTCACAGTAACCCAATGATTCCGGCCACAAAAGTCTTCCAGAACACAATAATATCTTTACTTATAACTCACCTGATCTCCCCGAGGGGACTGGGATGGGAAAAATCAGGCACCCATAATCATCCTCATTATCCCCATATATTGCAATGTAAATATTATAAAGACCGTAATTTCCCTCTCTCTGACTCCTCTCTCTTTCTTTGTACATCAGCTAAAACTAGTTTTGCCCCTCCCTCCCCTTTGCAAAAACAAGAATCAAAATAATAATAATAATACAAGATCAAAATACTTCCCACCTTCTTGATGAATAATAAATAAATAAATAAATAAATAATATTGACTACACAGAGAAGCCATTGAAATCCACAAGCATGTAGATTTCAATGTGGCTACCAGAATTATTATTATTATTTTTTAAAAAACCCTCTAAAATCAGGACAGTAAATAAAGAGTAACACTCAAAGCAGGGGAATTCCAGATAAGAAACAATCAGGGCCAGCTAACACCTCCCAACAAAGGATTCCCCAGGCAGGAATCAGCCAGGCTTTGAAGCTGCAAAGCCATTCAGTGCTAATCAAGGTGGCCAATTGCAACATTCACACCAGCCTTCAACAGACAAGAGTTCTCTCTCCCACCGTGAACATCATTCCACAGATATATAAACCCCATTTGTCTAGTTTCCAACAGACCTCACAACCTCTGAGGATGCCTGCAATAGATGTGGGTGAAACATCAAGAGAGAATGCTTCTGTAACATGGCCACATAGCCCGGAAAACTCACAGCAACCCAATAATTATTATTTCTACCTCACTTTTCTCCCCATAGAGACTCAAGTCACCTAATTTTCAAATCTTCAAAACCTGCCAGTGCTTTAAAATTTCCCTTTTTCCTTTATGAATAATATAAATAATAATAATAATAATTAACATTATTTCTACCTCACCTTTCTCCCCATAGGGATTCAAGCTACCTAAGAAATAAACACGTCCGTAATACAAATTTAAAATAAGTCAGGACTAAAAAAAATTGAAAAACCCTATTGAATATTTCTGGGTTGTATAAAAGCCACTTTCTGTATGCCGAGGTATGCACTGAACTTAAGCAGCGTCACCCAGAAGCCAGCCTGACTCCAGTGGGGCTTCTCTGCCAAAGCAGTGCTTGCTTGGGAGCAGCCTCACTCTTGTGTTGTCGAAGGCTTTCATGGCTAAAATCACTGGGTTGCTGTGAGGTTTCCGGGCTGTATGGCCATGCTTCTGGAACATGTCCCTACAGCCTGGAAAACTCACAGCAACCCAGCCCCACTCTTCCTTGCACTGGGAATGCATCCATTACTGCCCATGAGAGCTGAGATTCCCGGCCATCTGCGCCACAGGTAGGTGCAGTGAGCAGAAAACCCAGCTCCTTTCCTCAGAGGCAGCCTCAGCAGCAGCAGCACTGTCTTTTAGGCAAGGAGCCTCCAGACTGAGCGCGCTGGCAAAGACTGCTGGGTTTTTGTAAACAGTCAATTAGCCACCGTCAACATGAAGTCACCATCCAGCTTTTGAACACAGCGGGGCTCACAGGTTGGACAGCTCCTGTATTTGCATTCCTGGTCCCAGCCTCGCCATCCTTTCCTTTTATAGCTTGCCAGATCTATAAAAGAACATAAGAGGTGCTCGGCTAGATCTGACCTAGGGTCCAGCTACTCCCCACACCATCTCCCAGAGTGACCAGCAAAGAGTGCCCAGAAAGCTCCCAACGGCATGATGTAATATGCAGATCCTCTTTGCCTGCAGCTTTTAGCAGTCAGAGGTAGACTGCATCTCATCTTGGAGGCTCTCTTCATCTTGCCTCAGTTAGGACTATCTTTCATTAATTTACTTGTTCCTTTTAAGACAAACAAACAAACAGACACCTGGGGGGGGGGGTTCTTGCTGCGTGTCGCGTTAATTAATTCTGCAAGTTAGCTGCTTAAATGTGTTTGCGTAAAGAACGTCTTTCTTTCATGTCATGAATCTGTTGCCAATCAATTTTGTTTAGACTGTTCCCTGTTTACACTGTTTGTAATCATCGAGCATAGGTCTATCAGGATCCTTTTGAAGCACCTCTTTGGCCCTTTCCACACAGCTGAATAAAATCCCACATTTTATGCTTTGAACTGGAATATATGGCAGTGTAGACTCAGATAACCTGATTCAAAACAGATATTGTGGGATTTTCTACCTTGTTATTCTGGGTTATATGGCTGTGTGGAAGGGCCGAAGGTCCCCTCTTTCCCTTTCCCAGATCTTAGTGGTTCTGTCTCACCAAACCTACAGATGCAGCTTCAGCAGCTGGTTTGTTGATGCTCTGACTCCTCCTGGGTGAGAATAAAAGTCTATTCATCCATATTGGTACGCCTTTTGAACATCCTCCTGTCAGGAGAGACTCTTTGAAAGCCGGAACAGAGCATCCAAAGGGCACATGCCTTCCTTCTCACAGCTGTGGTCAGGCATAGTCAACCAGGACATGGTCCTGCCCAAAGACCCACTGACATGAATAAAACGGGCCATACAAGACCACTGGAGTGCAATTTCCATTCATCCACTTGGGTTTTGCACAAGTTTGCATTCAGGGTTGTGCAAATGGTCTCTGATTATGGTGAAAATCTGCTGTCTTAATGAGAAGCACACATCCGTACATGATAGAGCTGCCTCTAAGAGGAGTGCTGGAGTGAAACAGACCATGCTGGTTTAAATATGCAGAATGCATATCCTGACATACTCCTGAGTACGTAATCCCAGTTAAAAAATATCCCTGCTTATTTTTAAGGTCTGTGTTTGTTTGCCCGTTGAAATGGTTTCCTCACATTGGATCTCGTCATGCCTTTATCGACTCGAGTGAAGATCTGTTTACTGCCAGAAATACACGGAAGTTCCAGGAACCCAGATACAAACATTGGAGCCTTGTAGATAAACACGGATATGTCAGGGAACAGTCAACTGTGGGATTAATAAGGGAAAGTGACGCCTCCCCACATTCTCTGAGGATGTCAGACAGTCTGTCGAACAGGGCAACCTGGTTGATTTAGTGCTGTAGGATTTTCAGAAGCTTTCGACAGAGCCCTTCATCAAAGGCTCTTAAGAAAACAAAGTCATTCTGTAATAAGCGGGGCCATCTTTTTATGAATTGGTAATGAGTTTTTTAAACATTGCAAGTCAAAATGCCAGAAGGTTGTACTGACACTAACCCTGGTTCTTTTGTCTGGGTCAACATTACCATTAAAAGGATGCGGACAGTTAGTGTTGCATGGTTTTTGGAAAAATTGCTCTGGTTTTCTGCCTCAGGCACTGAAATGTTTTCTGTTATTGCCACGTTTGGTTGAGATGTGCGATGCTGAGGACTAGAATGATGATGAGGTAGGAATAAATAGTCGGTTGTCATGCTCGAGCGTGTAAATAGGAGGGTGGGAGTAAGCATCTGTATCAGGAAAGCTCGATTAAGCGTATTCAATCTTGGCCTCAGAAAAGGACTGGTGGGAGACTGAGGTGGAAATGTTTACAGCAGGCAAAGCTTTGAAGTCCGAAGCAGATAGCTGTCTTCTGGAAGGTCATTACACAACTGGGTGACTTTAGCAATGAAATAGCAGATAAAATTTAGTGTAAGGTATTGCGAAGTGTTACATACTTGGCAATGGTTGGAGAGGATCTAGAGATCCATGTTAAATAAAAGGCAGAGCAAATATTTTAATGTCACTCTGTGAAACAAAGGTGTACTTATACTCGTACTTCTAACCTACATCAGTTTCTCACCCACCTTCACCTATATTTTACATGGATTTTACAGAATAAAGAGCAAATGTGCCAATGAGGGCAAGAAAAAAAATGAAATATCTTGTATAGCACCAGAGGCTGAAAAAAATTAGATGAATGGGAATAGAAGGGAAGTAATGACAATTCTAGAGTTAATAGAGGACAGTTTTTAATTTGGCCACAACGGATTATATAAAAACAACAGAGCACCTGAAGAGGTGGAGAGGATTTAAAATATATAC